ACTTGAGACTGTACAGGAGATCTTGCGCCTCTTCGTACAGCTCCGCCTGTCGAAACAAAAACAAAACGAACGGACAATCCAATCGGAAAAACAAAACCAACTCAGCAAGGACGCAGGCCACCCTCACAGAAGGAAACGCAGCCAAGTTCGTGGCAACCTTAATCGTTACGCACTGGCGGCTGGCGGTCTTATTTCTTGAAGTTTGGCAAGGACAAGGACAACGGTCTCGGAAGGGGGGGGGAGAGTGCCACCTGTCGAGATGGGGAGTGGACAAACAAAATTGTCCGAAGGTTGCCTGGAATCTATATCAGCATCAAGCAGGCCAAAACCACCCAAAGGGGAAGAGGGCGCCCGGGGAAGTATGCCTCCCCCGATACCAAAAACAGCAGATGATACCATACCACATATTAAAAACGTAGTAACTTACAACACGTTTAGATGACATTTTTGTTATCGGATGAATTGTGGATATTTTACCGAGCGGTGTACAGTAACATTATTGGCGGGTGTCAGAGCAAGGCCCTTTTCCGTTTTCGACAGTTAACATTGTGAATCTGGTTGACCCACACACGAATCTCGGTTATCGGAGGTGAGTCACCTTGCAGTAAGCCGTGATGAGGCTCGTGTAGCACCCCTCCCCGGGCGTTTCGCCTCTTGTCTCCATGTCGTTCATCAGGTCCTCGATCACCTGACAGTGGGAACAACCAAAGGACATTAAAAAAAAAAAAACAGGTATCAGAAAATAACATAACCAAGGGATTTGTCGTATCATACCACACACGTGGCCTTGAAACCGAAAAAAAAAAACCGCTGAAAACGAGAAGATCAACCGCCACGTTTTGTTCATGGACAACCACGCCGCATCGTCTCCCTATCCCCCACGCCCCCCGCAAACAGACTTCACACACACGAGAGAGAGGGTAACGCACCCCGATGTACGCCCCCCGAGCGAGCACGCTAAAGGCTATCGTGTAGGCGCGTTCGTCCACCGGCGTGCCCGTCTTCCACAGCCCACGCACCACGCCGGCGGCGGCGTCGTAGGCCTCGGTGATGTCGCACGCCTGGAGGCAGTGCTTGATCGCGAAGCCGTCGGGGGAGAGGCCGAACAGCTGCATCTCCCGAAACATCTCGAGCACTAGGTGCTAAAGAGTGCAAGGGCAGGGGGGGGGATACGATTCAATACCTGAGTGATGCATCACCGGAAACATCTCAAGCACTACATCCTAAGTTGAAAGGTTGGGGGGGGGTACGATTCAAATGACCGAGCTATGCATCTCCCGAAGCATCTCAAGCACTAGATCCTACATTGCAAAGGGCGGAAGGGGAAGGGGCAGAGGGAAGAGGGGGGAAAGATTCATATACCCGAGCTGAGACATGCACAAGCTGACATCAGGATGATTTTTTCTGCTTTGATTGCACGTTCGAGGAGAAGTTCTGCGCAAGTACTACATGTGGAGGCCGGGGGAGGGGCGGGGGGGGACAATCGCATCCAGTAGGGAATGGCCTACTGCACACGGCGACTCCGATCCGGGGCCCATCTCAAAAATAGGAGGTACCTCCCCACCCCCGGGTACAGTCTGTAGTGCATATCCCCTCCTTTGATTTGCGTAACTAATTTCTGGTAAACCGCAGCGTCCCCGTTTGTACGGCACAAGTCACGCCTCCCCGTTTCGAGCGGAACATGTACAAGCCACCCATGCCGCCCATGTTAGTTACAAACATGCTCGAACGCAAGCCTCTTGCCAAATATTTCTAAATACGCATCAGCAAGGACTGTTGCATAGTTCCTGAAATCACACACCTACGCAAGGGTGAAAGTAGAACACAGTTGGGACACACCCACGTGCACAAGCTGCTGTTTTCTATGCTACAATCTTACAACCTTGTACAAACGTCAAGGACAGGCAGGCGTGCGGACCTAACCACGGGCAGACGCTCAACCGTGCAGATAGGCCAACCCTTAGGCTATGCAGGTATCGTACCACGAGCTCACATATTGTTCTTCTTGGAAAAGCGCAGCGATGACTGCGTTGTACGACACCGCCGTGACCTTGAGCTTGGCCTGAGAACAGAAAAGTAAGCAACAACAACAACAACAAAAAGAGAAAACCACAAAAAGGACGAAAAAACAAGAGGGCGCGATTTCGTATGATCAGGACATCGTGACACCAGCAGCAGCAGCAGCAGCAGCAGCAGCAGCAGCAGCAACAGGTGTGGGTGTTTTCTTCCGCCAATACAAAAAAACGTCCTGACCTTTGTCGAGCCCCTCCTCGTTCCTACTTTCAACGGCAAAGAAACGAACTTCCACCACCACGAGCTAACCCAAAATAACGCACGAACGACACTATTAATACCACGTGTTCAATGTTCTCATCCATGTGATCCATGTATCCCAGCGGAAATTTGGGGTGCTTGCCCGTAGTGCAGCTCTTCGCGGATAAAAGCGAGACCCTCAACAAGGCAACACCTGTGAGCACCGGTACACAAAGGGAATGACGAAAAAAAAAAAAAAATCCTGCATCTCCAATCTCTCCAACCACCACAAGCACCCCTAAGAACAGATAGTGAGTGACACAAGTTACCATACCCCCTGGACTGATTATCAAAGGCTCCATTACTCCACGACGAGGAGGATGCATCAATAAACTAAATGAAGCATGTTCGGAAACCTCTCGATGAGCCGGCTCCAACGCCCCCATTTTCGCTGTTTCTGCAGTGGAGAAATCGAGCTTCGAAAATTTGCCCAGGGGGGGTGATATCTTGTGTCATGTCACGTACGGTAAGGGGTTCCGGAACAGGGATTGTGTGTTCGTACCTTTTTCATGACCATGAGGAACTCCATCGCCACCATTCCCGCCTTGTGCTTGCTGCAGTAGGTCAGCACGTAGTTGCAGGACACCAGGCCTGGCTCCAGCTTCTTCTTGATCATCTTCCGGAATACCTCCAGCGCCCGCCCGCACTCGCCCGCGTGACACAGCGTGTTCATCAGCGTGCTGTAGCTGGCGAAATAATCAACCGATGAGATAGCAAAAGGAAGGCGCGAAGCGGCACATAACATAGCGCTCGGGAATGAGAAGAAGGGGGGCGTACTCGTGTTTTGCCTGCCTCGGTTAGACCATTGGCCGAGAGGACGGAGAATTTTTGAGAACCGATCACCGATGGCTAATCTTTCCTCCCAACTTTGTCAAAGGCGACTCAATCAGGGGGAGCGTAACTCATGTTTTGCAAGCCTTGAGCGGAGGGGCAGGCAAAACATTTCACTCGCGTGTACATGCCTTGCACGCCCGAACCAGGCCGCGGCCACGAGGGCTTGCTCTAAACTTCCTTGGAGGCGATCACAGGACATGACCGAACACGCACTTTGACGGCCGTGCTGCTGTTGATGGGCATGAGGCCGCGCTTCTCCAAAGGCGTGACTCGACCCCCCTTTGCCGCAAGAACCTAACATCCTCACGCACCACATACAATGTTACATACAAATATAATAGCTCTTTCGTCGTTTGAGCACCGCCTACCGGAACCGCACCGCACATGCACTCGCACACGGTATCTCCACTGTCACGTGTCGTCGCGCAACAATTTGCTCTTCCTTGCCCAACGGCCAACAACGCCTCACCTGATCATGTCCGGCTTGACACCGGCCTTTTCCGCGCGACGCGCCAAATCCAACGCATCCTCCCACCTGGGGTCGAGAAGAAAGCGGGCCATCCGAAAGGGCGGGAGCGGATGCCATTTAGACACGCCTTGCAGCAGCAACCACGCGCATGCCATGTACACATTTAGACAAGCGTTGCGGCAACAACACGTGGTGGATAACAATCCGACACGGACCGGATGGCATCATGACCGAGTGGGTTACCGGCCCTTGCTGCTCTGTCATACGTATCGATCGCCTTGAGTAATATCTGCTGCTGTGGCCTACGGCGGGGAGACTTCGCCCATACAGCATGTTCCGCGACTTTGCGTTGTCCCATAACTTGTCTCTGGCCACGCGACTAAAACACAATATCTACCTCCAAATGGCACCAGTCGGGGCGAGATGTTGTACAACTCAGTAGCTGTCTCGGACCCTCCCAGTGGTATACACAAACAACCACGAGACACCCCAACGGGTGGATACATGGAACAGCCCAAGAAGATGAGACCGGATGGCGTCAAGGCATCATGACCGAGCCGGCTCGCTGCTACACATCGATCGTCACGGCTGCGTGCTACACATGATACGCTTCCAGGTCCTCTTACAGCGAAATGCAGGTGTTTAGTGCCAGCACATGCGCTGTCATTGCTTTCAGTATCGCACATACCGGAGATATCGCATACAATGCAAGGGTGTGCGTTAAAAACAGTGCTAGTATCGCACATGTGTTTACTCACTGTTCGTGCATATCAAATTTATCGCACAGAGGCGTGTGCGCTAATAGAAAAAGTCAACCAGAAATTCGATTTCCGCTCATGATCTCAAAGGTCGGAGTTGTTGCACAGGAGGTGCGGGAACAAAACTCCCATAAATGATTCACAAAGTCGGCTAGATGCCTGTGCGCTAAGCCGAACTCTCACGGCATTTGGGGACAAGGGGCCATCATGGGGGGTGCTGATCATACAGCAGCGTCAGTTGGACCAGTACGGACGTTAGAAGGTAGTGAGCGGGTACCGGAACCGTTTCTTAATGTGAAGACAACAACAACAACAACAACAACAACAACAACAACAACAACAACAATAACAGCAACAACAATAACAGCAGCAGCAGCGTCGCGCACTCATACCTCCCGGCGATGTCGCAGGCGTTGATGGCGGAGTTGAGGCACGCCGTCAAGGCGGGCGGGTTGCTCTTAAAGATGGGGTTGGTGGACTTGCACATGCTGTCGAATAGCTCGATTGCTTCCTCTGTCCGTCCGCTCTACCAGCAGCAGCAGAGCAGCAGCAGCAGCAGCAGCAGCAGCAGCAGCACGACGAAGGACGTGCAAGGCAATGACATGTAGGTGACGAAAAAAGAAAAAACGAAGCACGAGTCGGATTAGGGGGGACAGCAAACAACAAAAACCACGACAACAACAGAAGAGAGTTGAAAAAGCTGACCGACAGGAGGGTAGCTGATGTCAGGGCGAGGGAAGATAACGTACGCAACACACCAAGAGGGCAAACCGTCTACAAGCCAAGATACAACAAACGAGCGATCAGAACACAGGAAAAGGCACATGAGATAAACGACCTACCCACGAAAAAAGCAGCGGTGGGGAAAGGCGCGTCGGGAACGATGAGGACAAAAAGAGAGAGGTGGCACACTCACTCTCATGTCCGTCGCTGGTGCCACACGTGCACCCACGGCACAAGGGGCAACGGAAAACGATCCTCGCCAGACACTATCACAGCCCCCAAAATAAGCACAAACGCCCACGGTTACAAAATAGCAATAAAAGCTCATGAAAAAACCTCCTTCGCGCACGGGTGACAAAAAAAAGAAGCAACAAAAAAAATGCGAAAAAAAAATCTTCCGCACACAGGTGATAAAAACACACACACAATGTAGACAGCATCGCGTATATACCAGAGCCAATGAGTTGACGACCAGGCCGTGAGTCATCGAGTCCGGCTCGTGGCCGAGTTCCGTCGGCATGCGCTCGAAGACAGCGACCGCCTCTTCCCACCGCTTCGTCTTCCCCAAGCAGTTGATGCCCATGTTAATCAGGATAGTGTTGCAGAACCTTGATGGAGGAGAGCGTCGAGGGGGGGGGAGAGGAGGCAATGTTGGTCGTTACTGCTGTACTGAGTCGAGTAGATCAACTCTGCCCTTCGGGGTTCAGCGCAAGTGTCCCAGATACCAAGACCATTCCAAAGGTGTATTCAACCACAATTTCTTGCCCAAGTCAGGTGCTAGGCGGCGCGGGGTCCCGAGTACTCAAACAAATAGCGGGGGGGGGGGGGGGACGGGAGGGCGTACTCGTGCCTCAGCTGCTAGACCATTGACCACCCCTCTTCGAAAAAACGGAGCATTGCTCCCACAGCACCCATCACCCATGCCCAATTGTTCCTTCCTACTTTGGGGGTTTGGGGGGGGGGGGGGGGGGGGGGAAAAAAAAAAACCCCCCCCCAAAAAAGGTATTTTGTCTAAAAAAACCCCCC